CATTTCGTTTCTCTTGCCAAGATCCACCATTATGTTGTCTACCATTCGGTTGCCAATTTCCACCATTATGCCGTCTATCGTTTTGCTGCCAAGATCGGTCATTCTGCTGTCTATCGTTATATTGCCACGATCCACCATTCTGTTGACTTGGTACACCGGTCGGTCGATAGTATCCGTCATATTGTTGATACCAATCAGCACGGCGATTGTCAGAAAACATATCTCCTGAATAAGGTTGGAATTGTTGCGAATTTGATCTATTCGGATGGTTGATACCTTGTTAATCGGTATGCTGTTTTAAAGCTGCAACCAGCATTTCTTGCATATCTTGCGTATCAACCATGCGAACACTTGGAGTTAAACACATCTGTTGTTCTGTTGTTTTAGCAATTTGTCGAACTTCAGCTAATGTCTTAGGGTCTTTATTACGTACCCAAGGTTGTAAGGACGCATTTAGGCCTTTTAATACATACGAAACTAAAATGTTTTCTTGTATTTGATGTCCACTAATGTTACACTGCACTCGGTCGATGTATTCATCCACTGTTTCTGATGGTAACTGTTTCACATCCAAAAGCGAAGTGTCAAATATTTTGGACACAGAAAAACGATCAGATAATGATTTTAAATACGGTTCGATCGATTCAACCGTGAAATCTATGTCTATAGTGTCAAAATATTTCTTTGCGGTACCTTCTAACAAACTGCCTAAAGTAAATAATTGGTGACATATCGGTAAATTACTTACTGTAATGTATGCCCTAAAACGCTTGAGCCATACTTCTATATTTTGTCCAGGGGCACCACTAAATTTTTCTGTGTAAGTTGGTTTACTCACCGACATATCGCTGGTTTCTACACTAAAATTATTTCCAGAGGTATTTCGAGTTTCAGTATTTTCTCTAACACTGGATATTTCTATATTGTCTGCTTCTTTTGCGGTTTCTGTACCTGAAGTACTAGATTCGTTGTTTCTTTCTCCTCTCGTATTCCTAAGATCGTATGGAAATATACTTGGTACAGCTCCAGTACTTTTATCTTGTCGGTTGTTCATATCACACAGGATCTTCCGGACTCCACCACTTGCGAGCGTGCTTCTTTTGTGTTAGCTTGACGTATTTTAAGATTTCTTATGTTGGGGGGTGCGTAGCTCTAATACGTCGAAGCACACAGCGCTCTCACAATAATTGTTATTCAAGAAGCTTTAATCTATAAGAAACATAAGAACTAATTATTTGACGTCGATCTGGGTTTATTAACGAATGAACATGAATAACACAAATAAAGATATATGAAATCATAATTAAAACATCATTTACAAATTATCTAGTAATGAATAGTTGAATATATAAAGTAAGCATATATTATGTGATCAAGTGCAATTGTAAGCTATTTCACATTATCATATTATGCATAAAAGAAACATACATTTATCAATAGCAAATATAAAGTATTATCATATTATGTGAATAAGTATAGTAAACTATTACACATTATAATATTAGGAATAACATAAACATATATACTAAATGAATTATTAGGCGACACAATTATAAACTAACTCACCTATAAGAAACATAAGTACTAATTATTTGACGTCGATCTGGGTTTATTAACGAATGAACATAATTGTTCGTATTTCGTCTCTTATATTTATACCCAGTCGCTATCGCCAACTTGATATCTTAATAATAATTACACTAGAATTATTTGAACATATACATGATAAGGGTTAACCATATAATACAAAATGTGATATAAATTAACATATTTACATTACTGAGACGTAACTCAAATATAGGTACATACTAAATCAATGACTAGGATGCATGTTAAGTAATATTAAATTATTTTAAGATTGTTGTGTAGAAAAGGTAAATAGATAAGACAGTGCGTCCAGATTAGAACGATCAGGGTTCGGAGTAAAGATTAACTTATCCACTTTAAAGCAATTAATCAATTAAGATAAGTAAATACATGTATATCAAAATATGTACTATAACAACATAATAAAAAGTACAGGTCCGAGTACAGAACCTGGCGGTACCCCACAAAGTATAGAATTATTGTCGGATGTTGAATCATTAATCCTAACAGCTTCGTTAGATATGTTATAGTACATGGACTTAAGCTAACAAATCCAAAATTATACCTCTCTAGATCGAACATTCGCTGAGATATGGCCATTTGAAATTAGGGTACTCAAACAGATCATAAATTCAGTATTTTTTTTCAGATTTTCGGGTGCTTTAAACTCACATTTCTAATAGGAGTAGAACTCTCTAACTTTGTACTGTAAGACAACTTTTGGTGTAGATTATGAATTTAATATCACACGCAATTTGCGATTCACACAGTTCGTGTCACCAGGTGGCATAATGTGGAATAAATGAACTATTCACTTTTTTTTTCAGGATTTCCTTAGCCTCTGGCAGAGTCACTATTGAAAACACAGCCTCCAAAATTGGCATAGTTAATGTCAGTTTGTCTTTTATCAATTTACAAAAGATTATGAGTCGATGGGATATATACTTTTCCAAATATTCAGTCTCGAAATTCAATGCACACTGAAAACGTACCAAATATACCCATTTTCACCTTCAATTTTGGCCATGTGGGACAGCGGTTAAAATTCTGAAAAAGTTTGATAATGAAACTTCAAATTACCCTACTATAACAGACATTAAAGTCCATCTTGTGTATTTGATGGCTTATATTTTTAATTGGCGCTTGAAATCTGTGCGGTGATGAAGTTTTCCAAAATAGAGAGGTAAAATATCGGATTTCTTAGTTTAAGGCCATATACTATAACATATATATTTCTTTTTTTTTCGGAGGGTGTCATGTCCCCACGATTGGTCCAGTTGATATGGAATGACCCATCAAGGAGATCCTCGTATCGAGCGTGTCAAGTACGGCTGAGAGATCTAAAGAGTACAAAGATATCTTATTTCTTTCGATCTATAGCCCGATAGATATTATTGGTGAATTTTAGTAAAGCAGCTTCTATGCTGTGGTAATTTCAAGGTTGTTGGAATATGATCATTTAACTGGTGTAGAACACATTTTTCTAGTAAGATAGATTACTATACTAACTGGGTAATTCAACAGAATATCCGGACTAATGTTGGATTTCTTTAATAATTTCTTTAACAGTGGATTTTACTAGTTCTCGAGGAAGTGACCAGATGAAAGAGATCGGTTAACAATTTCGGATATAATAGGTACAAATAGATCGATGTATTAGAGTGAAAACAATCTGCTTATTCAACGAAAAGAACAATGGAAGATTTCCCATCCATGTTACAAGAATTGTAATTCAATTATTTATAGCAATTCAGTCTTTTCACCCATTCTGCACCTTGTGTTTGGTATTTGGTGAATGTTCATGATTATAAGGCGGATAGATCATGAACTAGGGAAACGACCCATGAAAATGACGCCGACGACTATAAATTACTTCTACTATATAGGTGAAGACAAAAATCGAATAGCTTAAGTTAGTCCTTGGGGCGCCCCACCCCATCTGGCACACACATACAAAACAAAACAAATCAAACATATCGGGCAAAATAAAATATTTCGAATTCTAATGGTCTGGGGCTCTTTTACGTGCATGCCAACGTGTGCACGAGACCTCGATTTATCGTTCCATCCGAACGACAATACACGGTTCCTTGTCAGAACATCCATCCTGCATCACTGACAATGGGAGACCGTGCTGAAAAATCTTGAGGAACTTTCTCGGCCATCACTTGGAGAACGTGGTTAGCAAGCCAGCCTATATATTCACGAGTCTTCCAAATTGCAATGGAAATCTGTGTATATAAGATATTATCTTCTAGATCAGATGAGTTCGAATAAGAACACGATTTCATCAGTCACCGCTGTCGACTGAGATAATATGATTCCATTCTACTAAAATTCGATATTAGAAAAGTGGCTTTTGTAGTGAAAAACCAACACCTTAGATAATATAGTCTTTGTTGCTATTTCAGAGTTCACCAAAATGAGCGTATCGGGTCATTCGATTTGCTGAAAGAATAAAAAAAATTCATTAGTTCTACTTGGTAAAAATAACTTGACCAACGAACCCGTTCCCCATAAACAATTATATTATATAAGTTAATCTAGACCAATTTCGGTGAATCAAAGGGGTTAATTTTGCGTGAAAAACTCTTACAAAGGTTTATCTTCGTCCACTATCAGAAAGAATCTTCATGACGCTTGTTGTTGCGTAAGTTTTAGCAAACTGGTGAAGTTATAGTGATAAGTGGGCATCATAATTATAATTCAGTCAGTGAATTGATGCGGGAATTCCCTAAATACGTTACTATAGGTAACACATTTGAAGGTGAAACTTTCAAATAAACTATTTGGGCTATTTGAATTTATATGCATTATATAGAATGAAATCTTTGCGTACACCGCTCCCTCTTATCAACTCATTTTAAACTTAAAGTCTTGTAAATGTGTACGAGAAACCGCAATCGGCTGTTGAAGATTGTTTATGGACGAAAACTTAGATTATTTTTACGTCTTTCACTGAAAGATTGTCAGGGCCCCAAGTCAGTGCTTTCTGTGCTAATCCCTTTCCCTCCTAGCTTTTTAAAACTTAACTGTCTCAGACAACACGGTCTTCTATACGGTAGATACTAATACTAGTCCGTTCATGCCTTCTGACTTTGTCAATGGTGTACAACGGAGGGTCTTGCAAGTGACAATGTATAGTCGTTCGTACGGGACAAAAACTGAGTTACCGAGTACACACTGGGCTGCACCCAGTGACTTCCAAGAACAAAGGGCCTTACTGTGTTACACCAGTATGTTTCAAAACTTATTTCTGGTCGCCAGCAAATCGGGGTAAACAACGTAAGAGGCTTTGTTAGAAAAGAAGGTTACCCTGCACTTTAATCGATTAATTGACAAAAGGGACAATATTGTGGACATATTTTTTTTATTAACAGAGTTTAATCCATTCATTGACAAAAGGGACAACATTGTAGACATATTTTTTTATTAATAAAGTCTATGTACATGATATAATAAAGGTTTTATTTGATGATCAATGTAAAATATATAATATTTATAGACAAAAATATACTCTGGTGATCTACTGAATTTACATATCACTCATTTAATAAATAAGCAATTGACGAAATATATAACACTTTTCATGATACAAATACTCTGAAAATAATATACATTTTTGGGGGGGGGGGGATAAATCAAATCGAAATGATCTGTTTCAGAGAAATTTAATGAATCAAGGAGTGTTAAATTAGCATTTTTAAATGATGTCAAAACTATGCTTTTATTTAGAGTCTATTATATGGCGTTTTTAAAATCGATTGTATTGGGAACGCTAGATATGTGTATTGGGCAATTAAGATTCAACGTTATCTTGTATCCCAATTATAGCACATCGACACCTGGTATTTGTAAGTTCGTCATCATGTGCCAACCCATTTCCATTATTGGGAACGATTATAGCGGTGGATTTTCGATTAAGACGTTGGCTCGCTAACCTAGAAGTCAAGTGTTCAATCCCGGAATGGACCGAGGTTTTTCAAAGTGGTGCAGAACAGAAGGAGCATTACAGTTAAACCCCATTTCATTTCTAAACATCACTCTCCATTCTACTTCTCATGCTGTCTGATTGTTGAAAGAACGTCGACTCCCGGTTACCAATGTGATTTAGGACTCATAAAATAAATCAAAATCTATTTTAAAAGATTTCAGTATTCGTGAGTGATATACAAGATAAAAATAAAACAAAAACATGAAGACAAAACATATTACAATTAACACAAATGGACTATTTGCAAAGAGCACATTTAAAAAAAAGTTTTCTTTTAATAAAAAAAAGTTATTGAGCATTTTAACAAATTCCTACAAATCATATATTGGGTTACTAGGTTGATGAGTTTGTAAAAAGAATATATATATATAAACTAATGGAGACTTTACGTTCAAAACGATTCGTTGTATAATAAAATAAAAAAAAACACGTAAAAACTGGAATGTAAGAAATGTAAGGGAGGGGGCACCAGCAACTGGGCTTATATGGTAATATCTTGAATTAACCCTTAGGCTTAGCATATTATGTAGTCCGGTATTGCAGTCAATGCCCCAGATCATGTCAGTTTTACTTGCCGATTTCTTCAAAGTCTGGTTATGCACAACGGTGTATTAGTTTATTATTTATAATCTCTGGTCTAATGTGTCATAATCGTTGTTATAACCAGGATCTGCACTAGAAACATAGCCTGGATATCCCTTATTGTCCAATCCCTTTTTTAACTGGAAAATAAAAATGAACACACAATTACACCACATTGCATTACAATATAGATTTGTATTTAGAGATAATGTGTCAAGTCAATAACACACAAAACTAACAATAGCTTATATACTAGTAATTTCTAACAGGTTCTTTATATACAGCATTTACATACGAAATTGGGAGAAAATAAAACTTATACATTAACTAATGTACATGGCGTTAAACTCCTTATAAATATAAGGTGAATGAGGCACTAATAGCTATTTCGCCTATCACAACTCGCTATTCGCCAATTCAAATACCTCAACAGCCGATTTTGATAAGCAAAAAATGATGACATCACAAAGAATTCTTTTGTTTCCATGTGACCCCCCCACCCACCCTAATACCATATAATAAATTACCCAACCCACAAATCCTTAATGTAATTTCGTCATTAATATCACAACAATCTCATCATACTTACATTGATATCGTCAGCTGAAATACCATTTTCTAGATTATCTGTTTGATTAGGGTCAATGACAAAGTTGGGACCAGAATATGATGCTACAAGAGCTCTGTGTTTAGGTAAAGCTGGACCCCATTCTTTTGTAGGTGTGGTCAATGTTCTAATTCTCTGTAAGAAACGAAACATGTCATAAGCTACTGTATAAATATAAGAACTCTCTTGAAGGCATTGAATTGGCTATTTGGTTACCCTCAACTAGCTCAAGCAGCAAGTCCTTATGTAGTCTTCATACACATCATCTTTAATTTGGGATACGGGTAGCAAACAATTAGAGTCGATTCTTTTTTCATACCGGATTTCCGAAATCGGAAGATCTTGACTTTTCCTCGATATTGCAAACAACGATCTCATCGTCACCTATAATTTTGTCAGAATCAGTACTTAATAACTTTTCACTGGAAGTCCTCGATGACTTGTTCGAGCATTCCTTCCGTTAAAATCTAAGTATATGGTTTATAGACAAAATGATATTCAATATCTTACCTCCCGGAAGGTCCCTGGTGTAGTACATAACAGAATCAAACCAGGTAAAAATATGGCGACAACCACCACCAGTGTCATTCCCCAACCAAGGGCATCAGCCCAATTAGGTTGACCGTCTAATCGTGTGTAGAATACCCATGAGTAAATCAAGATGAACTGAAAAAATAAATTTGCATTAAATTATTAATGACCAACCAGTTCTTCATTAGATTCATATCTGGTATACACCCTATATAATATGATAAATACACATTACGTCTGCTAGTTTTATACCAAACGGTCCCTTTCATAAAAGACGCAAGTATATTCAGTAAAAAGCCATGCCCAGAAAACCGTTAATTTTTCCACATGATCACGGGTGTGACAGACAGTTAAATCAGAATCTATAATAATTCCCAGAGAGAAATGGCATTAATTCGTTTTCCCCTTAAATATTGTTTCATCTCCATTTTTGGGTCCCAAAATAGTGTATCTTTAACAACCCACTTCAAAAATATTGTTGCCCATCACAAATTGCAGATTAACGTGAGCTCAAATGTCACAACTCCTTGAATTATATATGTTTTCAATTTGTGGTAATCACTAAGTAGACTAAAGTAAGTCTTACCGATACGCCTACTGGAGTAAGGAAACACCAGCAGATCATCCACCAATATTTCCACATGACCCAAGGGAATATACCACACACTTTCTTTCCAACCATTACTTCAATATCTCGAACAAATCGTCTTACACCTATATGCCAATTTAAAAAAAAGAAATCAAAATTTTAAGATTCATACTTGTCGGTATTGCTTGAAAACATGGAGAGAATACTCTTCGAAACATCGCCCCCAAAAATTAGAAATTCTAGCATGTATTATAGTTTATGGCCCTGTCCAGTAACGCAATGACTCCAAAAGATTGTTATTGAGAAACCTTTGTGAGAATAGTTTAAAACGCCAGTTGAAATACACAACTAATTCAAATATTCAAAATATGACATGTGTAGCGTTTATGGCAGAGCAGTAAATGCATTCAAAGTCCTTAAAGGGAGAGAGGGAGAGAAATGAGTTTAACGTCCACTCAACACAACTAGGTCATTTCGGGACTAACACATGATTCAATTTTATTTCAATCATTCGCTTGTGCGTGGGGGTCTTTAGCAGTGGGAGGAAACCGGAGAACCCGAAGAAAACCCACGAAGCTGGACAGGCCACCCAACTCCTTGTCACGTACAACCGGGGAATCGAAAGCATGTCAGTTGACTCAATGACAGACCTCATGTACAGCGCGCACGTGCTAACCATTCGGCCATCCAACCTCCCAGTCCTTGAAGGCTCATCAAACAAATAAAGATCGGCGGCCATTAAGATCAGAAAGGTTCTTATCGGCCAATACTGAGGATCAAATACAAGATCTGTTGTGATAATCACGTGGCAACTACAAATACTAGTTATCTTTGGTGGATCCGAAGGGTTGTCATCGGTCAAAACTGTTTTGTGGTAATCACATGACAACCACAGATGGTATTTTTAAAAAAAAATATGGACCTTACCGTAGACATATCCTAGAGCTATACATTCACATAAAGCTATAACTAAGACATTCCAACCACCAGAGTAATAATCCATTAAATCTAACATATGTAAACCACCCTAAAATATATACACATTAATTATATAAGATCATAGCCAAATAAACAGCTAGGATTTCCATGCAGTGGGTTTCACTTAAAAATGAATAAATCGAATTATATTTTATTAATTAAACATACATTATGTAATAGCTAACTCTGCCTATTTTCAGTTCTTTCTTTAGGTATGAAATGCTATATAAATTATTAATTAGCCATTCATTAACATGAAAAAAACTATAATCAACTCTCGATGCCATCTTATGGGTTCGAATTTCATTGGATTTGCATCAGATCTGCTGTTCAACGCCCATTGATGATTAACTACAAAATTGGATAATCAAGACTTTGTTCATTATCGTATTAGCGGTAACAATGACAACCGGGGCTACGGTGTTTTTAAAATGAGGTTTTCTCGGCGGTCGGCACAGCGTAAAGTAATTTGACTGAAATTTTCAGCATATCCCCGTATATTATCTGTTTTTAACTATTATAGCGAAAACTGCCAAAAGATTAATCTTAAAAGGAACTCACGTTTGTTGTTAAAGTTAAACCCAACAGAAAGAAAATAGTTCCAAATCCCACAACCACAAATGTTTTGTAATTCCTTGATTTAGGGAATAAATCCATGAAAGAAGTGGACACAGTTTCAACCAATACAAACTGAAAGAGAAGATGAAAAAAAAACGTCAGTAAATTTGAAAATAAGAGCTAAACGAACACTCTTTGTTAATCAGATTTTAAAACCAGTCATAAATGGACAAGTAGTATATTTCATAAACAACATCTTGTACGGGGATATATACATTTATTGTGTTACATTACTGATTTTTACATGAAGAAGAAGAGATAAAATATTATGATTTATATTTTTTAAAGATTTTTGTTATGTCGTTGTATAAAATCAAAAAGAATAGAATTGTACCTGACTGTCAACACCTAATGTGACTAACATAACAAAGAACAGAATAGCCCATAAAGTAGATACAGGTAACTTAGTTACAGCGAATGGGTAAACAACAAAGGCAAGGGTTGGTCCTGTAAAACATAGAATTAAAATTTATAATAAACGTAAACATAATCAAAGGCATCATTAATGAGCATTGCAGGGTACAACTTAGAGATGAATGTAATTGGATCGGATATTATTTTCAATTATTCGGCTAGTAATCAGTTAGGTCTAAATATTAAGGTCAACTTTGGTCAAAAGTCACGGGATGTAAACACGACTAGCACTAACCCTAACCCCAACCCTAACCCACAATCTAGTCAACAATCACGTGCCCTAACCCTATTTACATCTCGCGACCTTGAAGAAATCTGCAGTTAGCTTTAATATTTAAAACTGACCATAGTAATCTAAATACATGTTTCAGAAAAGTGTATTCTGGGCCTGTGGTGGCAGCACAGTGGTACCTTTGATCTTGATTAGGCAATCTCTCAAATGTCTGATAAACAAAACTTTTCAAAAGATATTTAAGAATTTTCTGTATCAGACGTTTTAATTAGTAGGTTTATCTGTAGCCGAACTAGATGTTCACATCCCCCTGCATTCTGCCCAGATAAAAGATTTAAGTCATTGAATATCGAATGAATTCATCTCTTACCTTTATCAGCTACTTCAGATATCTCCACACCCATATCTCGAGCCAAAAATCCCAAATAGGAGAAAATAACAAAACCCGCGAAAAAACTGGTGAGACAGTTCCCAAAAGATACAATTATAGCATCTCTGAAAAAAAAAAGAAGAAATATCTCGAATCAAAGACATTGTTTTATTGTTGATATTCCTAGGCCAAAATTAAGAACTCATTAATTACTATCACGAAGACCATTATTCCCGTTTGCCTTACAAAATCAACAAAGGAATACTAGCGATATTTTGACACATCTGGACGGCAAAGCCAATCTTTAAAAAAGCCTTGTCCTGCAGATAAGGTACTTAAGATAGAAATTGAAACGAACACAAAGCAAGGTTAAGTCGGAATTTGTTGGTAAGTATAATATGTTTGCATCTTCTATCATCGCAGATTATTTCACTAATACTGTTGCTTCACCGTCGTATAACTTTAGTATATTATATTGCTGGTGTACTATAAATATGCTACCAACTGTCGTATAACTTTAGTAGTTGCTGGTGTACTATAAATATGCTACCACTTTGTCAATGGAAAAGCCTGTTACTTTGGCATGTTCACATTACATTACAGACATAGAATTTGATAGTACCTTATTTGTAATGACGTCTTCAGAATATGAATCTTTACACGAGGATGAAAGCAGGCTACCGAGAAGGATAACAAAAACACTTACCTAAAACAATCATTATGGAACTTATTATAACTGGATAAAGCAATGAGACCTCCCCAAGATGCTGACAGAGAGAAGAAAATTTGTACAGCGGCATCCTTCCACACATCGGCATCCCACAACCTATCGAGATTAGGAGTGATGTAGTAATATATACCGTCATAACTACCTTCTAGTAATATACCTCTGATAAACAAGATAATCAAGACTACATAGGGAAACGTTGCCGTAAAGTAAACGACCTGTAATAATAAAAAAGAACGTCTAATAGAAAATACAAATAATTAAACAAAATACAAAAAAAACAAGAGGGTGTTCCGTACAAATAAAATTCTTCTGCGACTAAAGAAAAGAAAATTAACAGTCATCAATAGACACTGGTACGGGAAACGTATGTTTGAAAGATATAATCACAAAATTAATGATAAAATTAACAAATAAGACCTTTGAATAACACAAACCTTTCCGGAAGACTTGACTCCTTTACTGAGAGTTGCGCATACAAAGATCCATGCGAGTAAATAACATAACACAAGCTGCCATCTGATTGGACCAAGATCGCTTATATCTTCACTAAAGGCTGACCCCAAAGCGACTCGCCTAAAATAAAGAACATAATTTGATTTGATTCAATCCAAGTGACGTATCTAGTTCACACCTTTAGGACTAATGGTATAATTGCCATGTCTACAAAGGTGAAAGTCATGTAAGAATACACTAATATAAAGAAGCAACGACGAAGAAGTAGCTTGAGACAAAAACTTTCCTCCAGTTGCAATATAATTCAAAGTGATTTTAACCCTTAAGATCGTTCCATAAATCCGAATTATACTACAATAATTTAGAATATACTCTAATCCAAAATCTCTTGCATTCATTATTGTTGATTTCCGTGTATCAGGAAGGGTATGATTCTCATTCATTTGATGAGTCCGCAAAGCTAACGCAGATTAACGTCTAAATGTAACATGACTGTGTATTGTCGTCAACTCCGCCAGCCTTCCGTCGGTCCATCCACCTTACAGACCAGAGTTCCTTGGAACTTTTATTCTGTCCCGAGTTGATAAAGTAGTGTATATAAATTATGTTCCATATATCCATGGAGTGGGACTGAACTGTCGTCAACTTACTCGAGATATTCTGCTGTGGGAAGTTTTCTCTTGATATTTAGTACCTCCTTGGCCAGGGATTCGTTATAAAGAGCAGTCAGAGTTCCGTTACCATCTACACAAGTACCGTTGCCTGTTGAGGTAAAGTTATTAAATGCGCAAAGTGACTCGTTTCTGTAAGACGGTAATCGGTCACTGCAGTCTGAAAATAAACGATCATCTTATAAATATATATTGAACTGTTTTGTATTGTTGGAGATGTTCTGGCATCTGGAAAGAATTAATTCTGCAATTATAGGACCCCCCCCCCCCCAAAAAAACAAAAAAAACCCAAAAAACCCCCAAACTTAATCAACAAACAAAAGAGAACAAGGGAGCAAATAACATATCAAGTTTATTAACACTATAGCCAACTGTCGTGCTGGAAATTCCCTGCATACGGTCAAAGAAGAATTCTTCAGAGATGACTGAGCCCAGAATCGTGTAAAATTGTGTTGGATTTCTACTCGTCATGACTGCTTGAACAGTTAATAAATTTACACCGTTTTGGGGGCACTTTACTCCAAATCGCTAAAGCAATCATAACATAGACCCAAAGTACCACTTTACTTGAAGCATGTCCTGAGTAGGAAGGAATCTAAAATGACTGAAGCCATATAGCTGTAAATACAACTCGTATTATGATGTAATTTAATTGAGACATGAATATACATCTTCTTCAATGTAAATTAACATAAATATATATTTACAGAAGAGTTATAGTTCTTATGTTACACCCAATGTATGGGTTTTATTTATACCAAATTAAACATTTCCTTTACATGTACCTCACCGTGTGTATCCATGTTTTTATACTAATATTGACTATACTTTGTCAACTTGTGCACAAAATAATTCAAATGTCTCTATTGAATACATTTTATAAGGATGCACACATCCCCATATATCTATACAATTACAATTAAAATACATTTGAAACCAAGGTAACGTGTGGTACGGAGTGTTTATGGACGATTTCTTGCGCTGCAGTATGGAAACAGAACCACATTATTTCTTTAGTCATAATGACCAGACGCAGTCTGCAAAGCTTTACCCCAACCTACGACCACAGACCACGATTTCTTTTATTTTAGAGATTATCTTTTGATCACTTACATGGTGTACTCCACTCTCCGCACGTCGTCCAAGGCAGCACTGAGGTAAATGAGGCAAACAGATAATAGAAAGCCCAACCTATTATCATGTTATAATAGATGGCTACCAATGCTGATACAATCACCATACCAAACCCAATACCTGAAAACAATGATTCAATGCATTATATTGACAAACCTTTAAATTTAGAGATGTTACGGTTGTTCCCTGTAATTCAAGATGTCAAACAAAACTCAGCAGTAATCACATATCTGGTTGAATGATTTAGTATAGGTGAATTAGTGATTAAATAGTTTCAGCACCACAGTTTAAACTCCCTCTGGCACAACTCTCTATTACAAGTGTCTAATTTATCTCTGACCAGCCGATATCAAAGAAATAAAGAAATGAAATGGGGGTTAACGCGCCGCTTCTTTTCTGCGCCGACTAGCCTAATGAAGACCTGTACACGCCATACATTGTGCTATGAGGTAAGGTTTAACGGGGTAGCGGCGTTAGAACCTAATTTCTTTTATGTGCTCCCTAAAGTGTACACGGTACCTCGGTTTATGTCCCATCTATCTGCTCAACTAGACACTCTTCGTGCCACGACCACCGTACTGCACCAATTACAAGGGGACCGGTGCAATAAATCTCAAAGAACTTTCTAGGTCAACATCGGGAGCGAACCCGAGACCTCCTAGTTAGCTATCGGGGCCACATTGCTGTCAAGCGATTAGAATCCTTTTTTTCTTTGGTTTGCTGTATGATAATTTATTGTCATAGACATTCGTTTTTAATTCCACTAACTTTTATTTTAATTAATTAAAGTGGGTCGCAGTATCTAACTTCATGAATGATAACGACCCAACTTACCTCTGAAGAGTCTGGCGAATGACCAACAAGTTGCTGGTCCATTACTGGAGAATTGACCAAGAGACAGTTCCATGAAGAATATAGGGATACCAACAATTCCCAACATTATGGTATAGGGTATAAAAAATGCACCTGAAAATAATTACATTGATTACATTTAAACATCTTTATTGACTATTTACGGCCATGGGGGTAATACCACGGTCGAGAAAACAGCAATAACACATTTATTTAGCATTACAAACAGAGACAGGTTTAGCTTTGTTTGTTTATTTTTTACATGATCAGGTTTCCCCATTGTTGGTATGCTAGATATTTATATCATATTTCTTCATACATTTATTCTTCTTCCTGAATCTGGAACATTAAATTCTCATAAAGCTGGCACTAATTCAATGCTTATTATACTGTTATGTCATTAGCTTGATAACGTTGAGAGAATACTCTTCGAACCGTCGCCTAAATAAATCAGTACCGGTTTTCCATAAGTATGTTTATAGTTTATTTAATAAAATGGATATTCGAGAATTAGCCTCGGTTTTCACGTATCGTTTCTACGATAATAAACGATCTGATTTAAGTTCTCATAAAGTTGACACTAATTAAATGCTTATTATTATACTGTAATAATAAAATGGATATTCAAGAATTAGCCTCGGTTTTCACGTACCGTTTCTACGATAATAAAAGATCTGCGGTACACCTTAACCGCTATAACTTCAAACAGAATAAATTAATTTGAATAAAATTGTCAACACATTCATTTTTTCATAACCTATTTTTCAACTGTTATAGTAAGATCGGTCAGCTCTTTATCTAAATCTTACATAATGCATCTTTAAACGAATTAGGTCTACATTATGTATAACTTACACACAAAGACTAGAAGACGGGTGTGGTTTATGTATCATCCTGTAACTGTTCAATATTTTCGTTATGCTTACGGTTTTGCCGCACGAAATCACCCAGGTTTCTTTATAAACTGTTTTGTGGGCGTTGTTTGTGCTATATGTACTTTAGCTGACATATTTACTAATGCGTGTTATACATAAAAATTAATGTAATCCCCTAGGTTTCCATGTGCTTTGATTACATTTATAATCGCTAATGTTCTAAGTTAATCTAAAACCTATACCAATAATCCATGTACCATAACGGAATATTGATACAGCTTAACAAAAATATATTTCTTCACGTTGAAAACTAAGTTTGAAGCCGAAACCATCAATACTTTGGTGGCCACACGGTATTCACAACCGCTTGTAAAACTACATCGTGATATTGCAGCATAAAAGATTTTGTGAAAAGATAATGTGTATTTATTTAATTGTTGTCTTTATCTAACTAGCATTCAAACATAAGCGCGGGTTCCATTTGTTTGTTTAAAAGATGGAAAGGGGGTGTCTGTTTATGGAAAAATCACCATGAACCGAATGAACTAGAAACGGTGACTATACAGAGATCCTCGTGTATTTAACACTAATATATAAATAATTGCCTTAACTTAAATGAGTAAACGTGGTATGGTGGGATTGTTGAATACATTCTTCGTGTATTAAATAGCGATTGCAAAAGCAAATATCTATACAAACAATATTCCCTATTTTGTTTTGTGTTTTGAAGACATGGGTGAGCAATTGTGTACAGTTAATAATATACTAGAGCTGTGGTATTTGTGAGATAGGTCAAAACCACGATGGAAATGAAATGAGGTTTAACGTCCTACTGTTTTGCTCCGAACTGGGCTAATGAAGACGGGCATACGCCATACAGTGAGCTATGAGGGAAATATTGCCCGGACAGCGGCACTACGGCCTACTCTTATATCGAATTCCAACTGTCAAGGGATCTTTTACGTGCACGCCAATGTGTACACGGGACCTCGGTTTTTCGTATCATCCGAATGACTAGACAGCTATCATTGTCAGGCCCTCCGTCCTGCATCACTGACAAGGGGGGACCACGCCGGAAAATCTGGATGAACTTTCTCGGCCAATGCAGGGATCGAACACCCGACCTCCAGGCTAGCGAGCGAGGCTAGCGAGCGAGCGTTTTACCCACTTAGCCGACGTGATCCCCAAACCACGATGGACGGTATATTAATCAGATACACAATACGGAATACAAATAAATCTTTGGCGCTACAGTGACTGGTTTATCATTACCTATGGAAAAGGGGGCATACTGGTTCAACATGATACAAAATACTATAGTTATGGTTATCAAAAGAATGAGCAGAGAGAGAGAGAGAGAGAGAGAGAGAGAGAGAGATTAACGTCCATTCGTCATCGTCAGAAACTGGGTCATTTCGGGACAATCTGATTAAAACACGGATCCTATTTCGTTTCGTTTTTCTTGTCTTTACTACACTAGGATCTGGAAGAGTTGTTATATAGCCCGCGTGCTAGATCATGTAAGGGATTAGCTAATGAAACGGTCTGTTACGGCGAGTTTTGGGCGTAATGTGTACGGAACTATGGGGAACCCACTCAAAAGATCAACGCTGATTGGTTAATCTAATGTCTGAGGTCATAGGGCAAAAGCTGCTCGTATGACCTCTGACGCGACCTTCCACTATAACCGGTCATGTAGTAAAGCCCACCGAAAGTACAAAAACAACGAGACGAAATATAGATCGGTATTTAAAATCAGATTGATTTTGGAACTCACATATAGTTCAATAATTCGCTTGCGCGTAGGGGTATTTAGCAGTAGGAGGAAACCGGAGGACTCAGAGAAAACCCACGAAAAACTGGACAGGCGATCCTACTCCTTGTCACGTACAAGCGGGAAATTGAAACCACGCCATTTGACTCAGTGACAGATCTTATGATACAACACGCACGCGTTAACCATTCGGCCACCCCACCCAGGTTTAAAAGATTCAATAAGTTTGTAGATAACAATAAGTATTAATATAGTATTTTAAACCCCATTCAAAGACCGGGCGTAATTGGATGATACGAATTAGTAATATATTTCCGACACCCTGGTAATAAAATTAATCACGTTATCAACAGTATTAATTTTGCAAATATGTACCAAAACTTAAACTTGTTTCTTAGATATATCATTAAAACCAAGTCATATCTAGTAATATTTATATTTTGGCTAGACTAAGAATTTGTATTATAAACTGGCATAGAGCCCAATCCGACTACTAGCATAAAGTGTTTTTAATATAATACATATAAGTGGGATATATACATAAGTTTTACGAAGCTTACGGCGTATACAAGGACTGATTGTTTGACCAAGATCATGATAATACACCATCTGCGTATTAATACATATCAATGCGTGAATAAACTATAATATATTATGGTCTAACCACAATGTACGATTGTGACTTATAGTTAGCGACAGCCCCAATAAAATGTACTTTATATTTTTATCATCCGGACTTTGAAGCAAAATATTAATATAAAAAACACCTACCTCCGCCATTTTTGTAACAAAGATATGGAAATCTCCATACATTTCCGAGACCAACGGCATATCCCAAACAGGATAAAAAGAAATCAAATTTATTTGTCCAGTTTCCTCGTTCTTCATTTTCGTCCCCCTGAAGAGAAAATTAGAAATATAAGGATGGACCAAAACTAATACATTTCTGTCTCATCATAGAAGGTAAAACTTCACTCTATTTGGATGCTGTCTAATATTTATATAGTCATATGGTGCAACTAAATATTCGAATGCTAAACTTAAGTGACAGTTAAATTGAACATTGTTACTTATACGCTCTAGTCTCGTATCGATCTCTGGTGAGTTGGTTGGGGGATGGCGGTAACCTTTTGATGAGCACTTTCGGGATCTTTGAAGGGGGGGGGGGGGGTAAACCTCTATATTTTCCTTGAAATTCGAAACTAAAAACACAAATTAAAATTGAATATTGGCCCAATTCAATCAATATTGATTTTGTTATCTTGTCGTGAAAATATGGGATCTTTTATCCAATATTTAAGACATAATGGACATTTTAAAATAAATGTATTTCGATGGGTTCGGGTGCCATTGAAATTAACAAAGAAAAACATACCCTAAAAGAAATCCACAGATATGTTAGTAAAACAAATGGATTAACGGAGCCGCCTCATAAATATATATGCACGAATGACTTCTTGAAACATTTATTGTAGCATCGTGCAACCATCTGAGACACCAGGGTACTTTTAAGCACTGCTTACACTCAACCCCGAAGTGCCTTACCAAAGTTATAATGGTAATAGATCGGCCTTAGTGTCAAGCCCCTCATGCAGTTGAACAATGGAATTCCATAACCGAGTTACGTAACATCGTTAGGCAAATCTATCGACCAGTTAACTTGGTTTAAATTGCTTCTTGTTGTTCTTAACGTGATGCTCTTAAAAAAAGTCTACGGATCCGCCAATCGGTGTACAATCATCACGAAACTTGGCAAGTGAGTTCAGTGGGCAATTGCGCAGAAAATGACAACGTAAATTTGACGCCACAATAACGCCATGCTCGGTCCCCGATAATCTAAAGCACAATCATGTAGTTTCGTGTTAATGGTTTTCTTTATCGTTAGCTAATCTGTTAAAATTTAATCCACATAAAGATGCTAACAAAAGGCCTAAATGTCAATTTCAGCCCTGTTGATATTGGAAGCACCAAACACTAACTAAGGCTCATGAAGAATTACAGTTGGCAGACAGTTTAACATTGGATGTCCAAATGATTGTTTTTTACGGAAGCCCATTAGGATCAATCAAATGAAAAAAAAATTCTGGCTATCTTGTAATTACAAGATAGCCTATCTTGTATTTACAAGATAGCCTATCTTGTATTTACAAGATAGCTATCTTGCAATTACAAGATAGCCTATCTTGTATTTACAAGATAGCTATCTTGTATTTACAAGATAGCTATCTTGCAATTACAAGATAGCCTAAGATAGCCTATCTTGTAATTACAAGATAGGCTATCTTGTTATTACAAGATACGGAGAAGCCCATGAGTAACCTATTTTAAGGTCGCCATACACCGATTTATCGAATAGCTAGGTCAACGCCGTACTTTATTTTATGTTACAGAATCGGCACATTCATGTCATGCTCCCATAAATATCATTCGTTATTTTCATGCCCCCATTAAAATCATAACGTTCATAATCTCATTAACTCCAACCAACTTCATATTAATATCATGATTCATCAATTTTAATGCCCCCCTTAAAGCCACAGAACGCTATTTATATTTTTCGGAGACTTCTTTAAATTTTGATTTTTGGCTGTTTTATTGTCTGAAGAAGTTACCGAGTTCAGCGATTTTTTCCATTTCAACAGCAAGTTAAAAACTGTGCGAAGTCAAAACGAACTAAAACAAAAAACATTTTTACGGTTAATCATCAACGGCCATTGAACAGCAGATATGATTCAAATCTGTTGAAAATCGGAGTTAATAATTGTCTTATCATGTTAATAATTTTAATGAGCGGTTGTTATTTCTTGATCAATGGTTAGGCGGTTTGGGGAACATTGAGGGGTGTCAACGGAAAAAGTAGTTGATAGAAAATAATTAATATGTACAATATGTACAATAAATGAACAGTAAGTAACGAAAATACATTCTGAAAAATGGACGCGGCGTCTAACAACAGTTTATTTATAGCTTGCGGTATCTCCCGAGGAATACAAAGTTTTGAGAGGGATTTGAAGCAAATTTTTGATAGGTTATTTAATTTGAATATGTTTTTAGTCCAAATATATCATCATATCACATAGTTTGTACGCGGGAATGTATCTTTAAGGAGAGCATGCAATCAATGTATCATGAATAAATGATATCAATGAGGGTATAAAGTTGGTGGGACTATGAAGTTAATGAGAGTATGAACTTAATGAATGGTTTTTAATGAGGGCACGAAATAGCTAATGATATTAATGGGAGCATGACCTGAATGTGCCGATCCCGTAACATAAAAAAGTACTTCGTTTGCCTAGCTATCCGATAAATCAGTGTAGGGCGACCTTGAAATAAACTGGTTAGAACACTTTTTTTTTCATGTGATTGACCCTAATGGTCTTCCGTAGGTTTTAGTTTAGATTATTGTCGCCAAGGTTGTGATGCATTATGATAACACCTTTTCAACAGTTTCTTTGTGTTAATTACCGATAGCTATAAAAGACACGTGTGCAGATAGGACAAGCGATGCATCAAAGCAGTGAATGTATTAAAAAGGGGTTTATTCACATGCTTTCATCATGTGGGGAGCAGGTAGCTTGACTCATAAATAATAAATAGTTATTTTGTCATTTGATATGTAGGTTGTTTTTTTATTTATGAAAACTACACCCCTTTTCATTTATACACATACGCCCCTTCTACCAGAATTATCACGATTCATAGCTATAGATAATATCGTTATTTATATTCAATATTTCAACAGTTCGAACTTTTCCAAAATACATTTTTTTAATATTCCTTATGTAAGTGAAGTCGTTCAGATGAGACGAAAAACCGATGTCCCGTGCACACATTGGCGTTCACGTAAAAGCACCGTTGACAGTTGGAATTCGATATAATAGTAGACTGTTGTGTCGCTGTCCAGGGGTCTGTTTCACGAAATTTTAACTAAGATAAAATCCAAATTTTATTAATTTGATTGGATACTATTAGATTGATTTTAGTGCTTAGCCAACCAAAATTGAAGTATCTACTAAAACTTGGATTTTATCTTTAGTTAAGATTTCGAGAAACAGGGCCCTGACAATGTCCTGACAAAGTTTCCAGCATAGCACACAATAAGTATGCCTGTCTTCATTAAAGCCCAGTCGATGCAGAACAGTACGACGTTAAACCTCATTTTTTGTATTTATTCGTAAATTCATGTAAATAAGGTATACTGAACGACTATTGTCAAGGTGAGTTTTTATAGGAAACTTACAGTTATGTAAACACTATTCATAATACCGAACTCCTAATAAAAAGGGGATGTCTCGTTAATCACGCTCCAACAGACTTGTTTTCGAAAAAATAAAAAAGGTTAGTATTCAGGTGTGGTCGCATATAATGTCACTGTCTAATTCACAGCAAATTTTGTATATTTTAGAATACTCAGGCGCAATGAAAACGCAGCATTTTTATAAATGGATGACTGTCTTGTAATTTTGAAGGTCACAACGACGATAACAAGTGAGAATGTTGTTCACACGATCATGTAAGCGCATGACCACAAATCGATTCTCTCAAACTTAAAATTTATATTCCATAGACTTTATGGGGCAGACATTAGACACAAAATGAGGCTTTTAAAAAAGCTAAGATCAGTACAACTGTTACAGTTCTGTGGAAGACGCAACGGTTGACACAAAAACATCGAGAGAGCACCATTGTGCAATTGAAGAGGACATATTAAGTTCCAGAGCCACTGGAAGCAGTATTGCAACGAGAGTTGAGAATGACAACATTTTGTTTTTTGTTATGGCTACTAGCGTACGTTGTTGATTGTACCATATCGGTAAATGGTGAGGCTATACAAACATGCCAAAGATCTCATTTTAGCTGCACTATGTCTCGCCAGTACTCTCAGTCAAATTTGTGGCGCCTTTTCGTCGTGTTTCAGATTATCTAATAAATTTCAATAATGATAATATTTATTTTTTGTGGATTAACTGAATTTTAACTGTAAATATTAGAAGACCTTCGGAAAGGTAGCCTGAGATAAACAATCAAATATTCAAAGCTAAGAAATGTATTTCACTGTTAGTTAGCCCACAAGTTCAAGTAGCCACAGTTTACATTGTAGTTTTCTTTTATTCTACTGGAAAACTGCACTAGATTGAAACCCGGTAAATATTACGAGAAATTCCCCATATTACCTACACAATGGAGCCCGATAACTTGAAGATAAGTGCAGGAAATTTACACCTTTTATCACGGGTCGTTAACTTGTATGCGAAGAAAATAATATTAGTCCAGTATTCAGATTCTATTGTAATTTTGAAAGTATATGAATGCCTAGTACGTGGCAAGTGTATGTGTAAATTGGGCGGTCTGACTGGGTAAATTCAACAAACATAATGCTTTAAGACTCTCTATTATCATAAATATATTATCAAAACCATATCTATATCCTCCAGCTAAATGTACATCTTTCCACGAAGCTAAAAGTGTTAATTGTTCTTTACTATCGTTTTATGGAGGGCGGGAAATCACTTCTGACCAGTAAGTAATCATCATCGATCGTTAAAATACACCAATTTGTCTTTCAAGATCCAGTATTCCTAAACTTCAATAGTGTCACACAAAAGCATATATAAATCGAGTGATTGTCAAAGTGTATGCAACAACTTATAAACACATACAGAGTAAAGCATATACTGTAAAATTTATTCAGATCAGTCAATGGAATGGCGTCTACTGCGATTCATATGGTTGTGGTTGTCTTGTTTCATCATGTAGCAATGTACCCCGGATGTGGGAAGCGGTGCCATCGAATGGTTTACCACATCCGACGTCCAATATAATCTCTGCCACACATCTTGTTAGCCTGTGATCGTCAAGAATTGTCTCTGGCATATATTATTGTAATTCTCTTGCGGCTAAGGCTTCGCTTTAAACTTCACTTGTTTTGTACGTATTTTTATCATCAGCTAAAATGTTTGTTTATCACTCAGGAAAAACAATACAACAATTCGTTTCTACCTTTTATGTCAAAGACTGGATAAAATGATTACAAAGGTTTAAACAATGGTATACAAAAACGTCATTTTCTCAACCCCACTAACTTGAAGAACGAGACTAGTACATGATGGCTCTCCTACGAATCAACGGGGTTTACAGAATCCAGTTGGTGTCTCTTGAACCTCAACGGTATCACCTAAAGAATCTACATGGTATCTGATCTTTAAAGAATCTAATGCGTGTCTAGAAGTATTCGAGCCCAGAGTGCTTTTATAGGTGCCAACATGGGCACTAACCTTGAAAGATCTGTCACGCGCATACCTGACTAGTCTAGATCCGTAGATTTGTGCAATTAATTACTCATGTCTAATGAGGTAACCGGGAGAGAGAGAGAGAGAGAGAGAGAGAGGGGGGGTTAATGTCCACTCGACACAAACTAGGTCATTTCGGGACTAACACATGGTTCAATTTTATTTCAATAATTCGCTTGCGCGTAGTGGTCTTTAGCAGTGGGAGGAAACCGGAGGACCCGGAGAAAACCAACGAGGTTGGACAGGCGACCCTACTCCTTGTCACGTACAACTGGGAAATCGAGACCCCGCCAGTTGACTCAACGACATCCAACCGCCCACGTAACCGGGAAACAAATTAACTGTATTTTCAAATAAACGCATTACAAAGGATATAATTCACACACACATATATATAATATATATATGTATTGACAAGTATGTGTCATCGAACTTGTTCATGCCCAAGCCATAAATTTCTTCAATCTGATTAAAACACAGATCCTATTTCGTTTCGTTTTTTTTATAGTTCAAAATTTCGTTTTACTTGTCTTTACTACACTTGGATCTGGAAGAGTTGTTATCATTGATGAGTTCTGAATGGTACGAGGGCTTAGCCAATGAAACGGTCTGTTACGGTGAGCTTTAGGCGTGTTTTGCACGGAACTGTGGGTAATCCACTAGTAGCATCAATGCTGATTGTTTAATCAAATATCTGGCGTCATAGGGTCAAAAGCCGCTCGTATGACCTCTGACGCGACCTATCGTTACAACCGGTCAGATCTTCGTGTAGTGTAGGCCATCGAAAGTATTAAAAAACGAAACGAAATATAGATCTGTAATTTAATCAGATTGAAATTTCTTATATTCGCCTAACGTAATTATTCATATACATAACATATATAGCGCTCTTGAGCAACCAGTTTGTTGGATATTCAACGCTTTATAAATAGATTATTATTACTATTATAAATTACCTAACTATATTGATACACTTATTTGGGGTGATAAAGGTTAGGCGAATTACCTATTGAAAATGTAAATGCTAATGTAATGAAATATAATACCAGTATTACACATGCAATAATGCTAATATTATGTATATTGAGTTGATATTTCACACGCCAACATTTTATTACTGAGAGCTGGAAGTCTTTGGTGTATAAGAGCAATAAAACAAATACTGATAGTCAAAGACATTAATGCCGTGTCACTTTTTCTTCAAGTGGAGGGTAATCGTGTCGAAATGACCAGACTAACCAATAGCCATCGACCAATTTGTTGAAAAACACCACTGTATCTTTCAAGATTCAGTGTTCTCAAAATAGTCATTAATATAAAGTGAATACGTTGTCATTTGGGGATAGTGTGTAAATTTATAGAGAGATGGGGGGGGGGCAACGCCCACTCGACACAAACTAGGTCATTTCGGGACATATTATGGTTTAGCATAAGGGGGAAACCGGAGGCCCCGGCGAAAACTCGCGAGGAGCTTGGAAACCAAACCACGCAACATGACCCACGCGACATTTCTCAGTGACTCAGTCGCTAACCTTGAAGTTCCGTGTACTGTTCGATGGTTGTGTTGACTGAGAAAGTTCATTGGAATGTCACGGTGTTGTCCTCCCTTGTCAGTGGAGCAGAACCGAGGGCGTGGCAAGGAACAGCGTATAGTCAGTCGTTCGGGAATGAGAAAAAATACGAGCTCCCGTATAAACAGCAAAATGCCCCTCATAGCACACTGTATGTCAAATGCCCGGCTATATTGGCCCAGTCGGAGCAGAACAGTAGGACGGTAAACCTCCATTTCATTTTATTTACGCCGACTATTTTTTTTTTTAATGTTTATCATTATGTAGCTTTAAGTCATTGGTCCTATAGCTATAAATACATAACTATTTTATAGCCCCCAAGTGCAAATTTTCATAAACAATAAAAAAAAAAACACACTGGCGATTAACTGTTTTATGGCCATTCAGGTTCGTATTATAATTTTGTTACGCCCATTTCCACAGGCGTTCTAAACAACTAGTTAACAAATGATAACATTAACGTGAACTAAAAAAAAAAAAACCCAGTTTTCTTTAAAAGAACCGTCAATAATTGGCATTCATTCAATGTCATAACTATATGATATAATCTATCCGACACGATCATCAATTATCACGGATTAATCGAGTTGTCACTGAGCAGGCATTTTCATTTCAATCCGAAAACGGAAGAGGCGCATCTATACGCGATTGAAAAAAAAACGTCGCGCAGATATTTCCCATTGTGAGCATTTTTAGTCTCCAGGCAGGGCGAATAATATGTTTAATTAGTCAAACAGGTATAAACTTATCACATTTGTTAGACGTTCTAATGAATAAACGAAATGAGATTACAATGTGAAACACTCTTTAAGATGAAACGATCTGCTCCAATATTCAAGATATCCAATCGCAGCTAAAAATAAAGGTATCAGATTTGTCTCAAAGTTCTTCGCGGCCGCTGCGACGCTTTAGTACTTAAAAGTCGTTCATGAACTGTCATCAGTCAATGAAAGAGTTAACTCATTATCTGACTGCATGAATCGTTTAAATGGTGTTATTCACAAGAACAAAATATTCGCAAAGGGACCACCCCGAAGAAAATTATCCAAATCCTTACTTTCAGTTGTCACTGAATAGAGATCACTCCTTCCCATTCCAAGTCTTCTATACCTCGCCCCATTATTAAATGTTTTACAAAGATACATCAACTGTGCTACATCTAGACCAATTCAATTCAATCATAATAATACAAAAAATTTTTTTTACCGTGTCCACCTTTTTCTTTTTCTTAACGATGACGTTTAGCAACTCATCATGGTATCGATCAACTTTTTTAGATAAATCGTCCACCTGATTTTGCAAGTGGTCAATTTTTCCATCGGTCACTGCTACATCCATCTTGGTGGACTTATCCCAAAATAATGTCCTGTGCCTGGGAAAAAATAGTTCTTTTGAGAAAAACTACCCAAGTGTGTAGGTCGTCAAGGTCAAACCTGTATCCAAGTTATCACAGATCAAGCACAATAGAGGCTAATAATCCAGCCCCGCTCTCGCTAGAGTAATGTTGACAATAACTCGCTTCGTTCGTTCGTTCGTGCCTCGACCAGTCTTTATAACACCTAGAAATACGACAACCCACGAACACCTGCATTTCGATTGGTCGAATTTCTTTTAAAACACCTACCAGATGACGCAGAAACTTATCCTTAAAGATTATTTTTTTGTTTTTTAGCTTTAAAGGTATTTAATATTATAGGTCAATAGGGGTGGGCTTAAGATATTTAGGACATGTTTACGCTATACTGTTAATTAAACCTGAAAATTAAACAAGTATAGTTTACCTATATTTTACTAAGTAAATAACACCTTTCCCGTCACTTCTCACAAATAAACTTTAGATTACATAACTGGGAGACCATTAAAATGATTTTAATGAGCGGTTGTAGATGTACATGCAAATACAATAAGCAGGTAGCTAGGGATTTTCTAATAGAGGGTAAACACAACCTTTTTTTACTGTGGGAACATAATATTGGCGATGGTTTATTTGCTTTTGTGACTCATTGCCTGGGGCGCTGGCACATTAGCCAGGAGGTCCGGGGTTCGATCCCGGTGTTGCTGAAATAGTTACCCGGACAGGGCGCCTAGCAAGGAACAGTATTTAGTCGTTTGGGTGGTACGAAAACCCGACGCTTTGTGTATACGTTGGTGTGTACGTAAAAGAATCTTGACAATTGAAACTTGAAATAACAGTAGGCCGTATTGCGTCTTTATTAGCCCAATCGATGTAGAAAGTAAGTCTTAAACACCGTACTATTTGTTTAATCAAGACTGGATGATTATACATATCAAGACGTTTGTTTATAATAAAATATTGATCTACGCAAAATGTTAGTCCGTAATTCAAGCACAAGACGCTTGTAAACTGATCAATACAAAGATATTCAACATGGCAATTATGGTAGTCGTAATATGAACCCATCATTTTACAAAAGATCGAAGTTTAAAGTAGCTAAGTCTCTAACTCAATATCATCCAATGTCTTTGACATTGAAAACACGAATTATTTGTCAATTTGTCAATTATTTGTCAATGTTGTGATCTTCACGGGAAAAAATGAGCTTCTGATATCCAATATATAAGAGCAAAAAATCATTTTACCATTGGTACACGAATCGTGTACCACAATGCGTTTCAGTACCATTTGTGCTGACATCAAGTCAAGTCAAACGGTGACACCATATTCTTATCTGGAGAGTATGTGCAATAAATATTATCGGTGTAGACTGGAATAATCAGACGCTAGAGATTGCCATTCGATTTAGACTTCTGGCGTATTTCGCCGAACGTAACTGATTTGAAATTAGGGTAAAAACGGAAACCATTGAATGTAAATCAGTTTATATACATTCACATTACATTATTATATGCTATACGACCCATTTGTGTCAATTTCTGGGTCCCAAATATAAGCGATTTAGCTCCTTTAAATGAAATGTAACGCGTTATTATTTAAATATGCAGTGCATAACGGGGTAACATGAATGGCTCCCATATGTAAATCTCTACAAAAAACACTTCATAAATATTTTATAATGTAAATTGATATTGCTGAATACAGTTCGTATGGACAAGTAAACGAGTATGATGTCATCACAGTCATCTTGAAAGCGTACGGTAATTGCCTGAAGTTAATAACGGATAAAACAATCTAAAAATTTGAACTTTGAATGAAGGTGGGAGCATGAATTAAACAAGTACCACTGTACTATGGACCAGTAACTGAGTATGATGTCATCGCAACCATCTTCGAATTATGATATAGAAATTCGCCAATCGATGCGCAATTGTCCAATTAACAAGCATGCGATCGAACATGAAATGGTGGACCCGTAGGCTTTTTTATTTTGAAGAGAGAGAGAGAGAGAGAGAGAGAGTAACGTCCACTCGACACAAACTAGGTCATTTCGGGACTAACACATGGTTCAATCTTATTTCAACAATTCGCTTGCGCGTAGGGGTCTTTAGCAGTGGGAGGGAAACCGGAGGACCCAGAGAAACCCCACGAGGTTGGACAGGCGACCCTACTCCTTGTCACGTACAACCGGGGAATCGAAACAAGCCAGTTGACTCAATGACAGACCTTATGATACAGCGCGCACGTGCTAACCATTCGGCCATCCAGCGCCCAAGAACAACTCGAACAACAAGGACAAGATGAGTAGCGGTTAAGACTCCTGGTCTTTTCGTACGTAACCCGAAAACGAAATACGTTAGTCTCATGTTAATCACTTTCAATTTGCTTCCCTTTCCCCGGTTTTAGGACGTACACGCATAAGTGTATGCCGTCATAAAAACAAAATCTTGCAACACTGAACATAAACAACTTTTTATGACGTTTTATCGCACCAGAACACAGCAATAAGTGTTTATTGACCGTGAATTATTTATTAGCTATAATTGTTACACCACTACGAAAGTAGAGCATATTATTTACATAGATAAAAAACATTCGTTAAATGGATGTTTTGTAAAGAGTTTGCATATTTCTGATACATAACAGGTCAATCAAATTCGACGATAACCATGTGCACCATTTCATTTCAATCCAATACTTTATGTTTACGCGGGCCTCTTAGACTTATCTCTTAAGAACATACATTATTCAAATTTATCAATTTTAACGTAAGTTATGGCTATTTAAAGTTTAAATTGGTTTCTCTTGATTTCATACCACCTTTCATTTCATTTTATAATAAAACGATCTTTCGTTAATCATTTCTTTAATCAATTTCTTTAAGTATAAAATTTACCCAATATAATTTATCTATTTGTAAAATACATTTACTGATATAAGGATAAGTCGATGTCCCGATGGTTTACCGTTGTCTTTTTTCTTTAAAATTATGTTGATGACAGATGTTCAGATTTTATATACATGCTTCATGTGACATTGGTAAATATCAATAAAGAGAATATATTAGGCATATAAATCTTTGGCATATAAATTTTAGTTTTTCAATAGTAATGTAAATATCCACAATCCCCGGGGTGCGATATATGTTTACATTAAAATTGTTATCTTTTATAGGCCTGTTATAATCAGGATATTGTCTTGTTTTTAAGAACGCTATAGACCCATCCTTGTTCGAATATTCAAGATAATACTTACATTCACTCCGATAATAATGTAATCGGATTATCTCAATACCGTTAGATGATTATATACCTATGTGCAGGTAGCCTACCTTGGGTGTGTTTGTTTTGTTGGGTTTTTTTATTATGTTTTTGATAATTTTCATTTCAGCCTTATGCACGGGTTGAAAAGAAAAATACTTAGTGATTTATGAGATCATAACAATAAATCCAAAACATGAAGCTAAGTGAATTTACAACGGCACTGCACCCGCTAATGTATAGGTAAACACATTCTTCCAGGTACGCGATAGCTGCCACATCTTTAGCTATTAGGTTATTATTTATATAATATCTGTATAGGTGCACCCGATTAGATTTTATTACATACTTCGAGAAGGTATTTGTTGAGTAATAAAACCTTCTAGTAGTTTATCGAGGGCTGGCCGTCCTTACCGCACGGTACAAATATTATCACCACTAGAAGCAACAAATTCCAGAACAAGCCAGAACTCATACCAAAATGGCCGCTTTATACAAATGGGTATTTAGGGGAATACTAACCCGAACCCTAACCCTAACCCTTTTAAGAGAAGTAAAAACTAAATTAGACCCAAGTTCAGTCTTTTAAAAAGGGTTAGGGTTCGGGTTAGTTATCCCCAAAATTCTCATTTATATAAAGCGACCATTTTGGACTCCGGAAACACCCGAACCTCGATAAACTACTAGAAGGTTTTATTTGTACCGTGCGGTAAGGACGGCCAGCCCTCGATAAACTACTAGGTTTTATTACTCAACAAATACCTTCTCGAAGTATGTAATAAAATCTAATCGGGTGCTGTATAAGGCCAAAATACATGAAGTTTACAGGGAACCGTTATACAATCACTTGCAAGGGCAATACATGGGTATAATATATATATTTTTAAAAAGAATATTGTTATTCAGTAAATCTGAATTTGGATTGGGAAACAGTCTATGCCTATGTGTAACCCCACTCTCTAATATAATATTAACCATTAGTAAGTAATCTTATAAAATTGGACAAACCCCAGATACAGTGACACATTGTCATTACATAATAAATAGTTGGTGTATGCTATCGTCAAACTGGTCTGTTCGAATCAGTGAACAGTTAGTCCTCCGAACCAGATAAGATATTATCACTCCGCACCCCAAAGATGTCATCTGTGCGTGACTGTCGTTTCATCTTTTTATCGTTTGAGTCATTCATGGGTACTTTACCGTTCATGAAATGCGTGGTGAATGCTAAATAGTTTTGCTGAGTAAAGTTGTGCTTCAACGACGCCCCCTATCCTTATTATTCAATTTAGTCAAACCTACCTTGTGTTTTGTAGGGAATTATATTATCGATACAATGATTCAGTATTCACACCCACGCATGCCTAATGGTTGACAATCCATATTTCCTTTGTTATCATATTAATCTTATTTTATTCAGGTTAGTATTACAATGCATAGAACATAATATTACTTCACATAGAACATATTAAAATACATAGAACATAAAATGAATACTACATAATATTAAAATGAATACTCTATATATAACATTAAAATTGATAGAACATAATATCAAAACACATATATTTATCTATCGCCAAAACTTTTCATAAATTAGATCAAGAAGAATATGTTTTTTAACACCAAGTTATAACACCCCTCTGCAGCTTACAAATGTATTTCTTGAAATAATAACATGGTTAATACATGTTTTTTGACACCCTATCTCTAACAATATATCGCAATTAGACACATAATCGGAGAAAAAATTATCCTTTTTACCCTGGGGCTGATGAGGAGCTGGGCTAACATTGCTGCATGAATAGAGCCGGTTCGTTATCATGTATTTTTACTGTGGATTGCAGTGTTCTCTTTTGTTACTATTGTCTTGTAGTGTTCTAATTTGTTATGACGTAATACTGCAGGTACACAATGAG